CAGCCCCCTTGCCCGTCCTCCCACTTCGTGCTCGGTCCAGAGATTCTTAGGTCCATGGGTAAACCGGAATGGCTGTCCCAACCTTTTACTATGAGTGATGGGTACCGACTGCAACTCTGGTAAACTGGTTGACGCACAGATGGTAGCTGCTTGGATCGTTTTTAACTTGCCTGCGATCATCACGGTCGATCCAAGCAGCTGTTATCTGTAGGTTTGTTTTCTGTTCCTGCACTGGTGAACTAGTGCAATAAATTAGAATAAGACAAGTATACATATATTTTCTCATTCTAGCTTACTGCACTAGTTCACCAGTGCAGGAATAGAAAACAAACCTATTGTTCGATCAGTTTACCAAAATTGCAGTCGGTATACCATCTCTTATGGTAAAAAGTTGGGACATTCCGGTTCACCCTATATATGTATGAGCTCTCTGGTGGCGAGGGGGGAGGGGGAGGGGAAGTACGCTCGTGTATAACCTCCAACACGATTCGTATCATCGGCATATGTCTACGAGGAATTGTAGACTATCGGGTTGTGAGAGAATCTCGTATCACAATTATGAAAAAATACATAAAATCATTGTTAGAAGGAGATGGCAACTTGCAGTTGCTGTATCCGGCCTTACTGGCGGCTGCATTCGTTCTTATAGTGCTAGGTAACTATATTTATTCACAGGTGTGAACATTGAAAATGCGTTTTACTTTATGAATTCAGACGTACATAATTGTTTAAGATATATTTACTATGCTTTTGAGTGTTTTTAAAATTACTGTGACTTGGTTCTTAACTTGTAAAGGATATATTTTAGATTTCCTTAATTTTCTTCTTTGTACAAGTTTATACGATTTGCTTTTATAATAATATTATCTGAATTAACAACATGAAAAATATTCCGTGCTCGAATTATTCGCTTATATATAATGTTACATCGTTCTAATATATAATAATGATACTTTAATTAAATGTAACCTGTACAGTTTTATTCGCACTGTGGCGCAAGAGAAAATCTGCAGGGCATATTATCCTCTTAACAGGCCTCAGTGATAGTGGAAAAACGTTGATCTATACGAGATTATTGTGTTCCAAATTTGTCAAGACTTATACATCTATTAAGGAAAATGTAGGAAATACTTCAATCAACAATGTAAGATTTAAATGCCACCTTTGTGACATGTTACATTTATAATTCTATATGATTGGCCTACTGTAATTGTTCTCATAAAAATGTTTGCTTAGACTTCTTTGAGAATAGTGGATATTCCCGGAGACGAACGACTGCGCAGCAAATACTTTGACAAGTACAAATCATCTGTGAAAGGTCTGGTTTATGTGATCGATTCGGTGACTATTCAGAAGGAGATCAGAGACGTGGCTGAGTAAGTATAAAATTTGGCCAAATTGTCTTAACACAGAATGTTTCATCTATAAATAAAAATTTTAATATCTACACAATCAATATTTCTCTGCAGGTATCTGTACAATTTATTGTCGGATTCTAATATACAAAAGAACATTCCCGTTCTGATATTGTGCAACAAGCAAGATCAAACTATGGCTAAGGGTTGTGCAGTGATAAAAATGCTGTTAGAAAAAGAAATAAATCTGCTGCGAATGACAAAGACTAGCCAGTTAGAAGCCACTGATGCGTCGTCAACGAATGTCTTTCTTGGGAAACAGGGAAAACATTTTGATTTCTCGCACTTGGACTCGCAGATTCATTTTGCAGAGTCGTGCGCATTTAATAAAGATTCTCAAACATCAGCCGACATCGAGGAGCTTAACAAGTGGTTACACAAAATTGCATAATATAATGCAGCCAATCTTACTAAATATAAATTATAGTTTATAAGAAACTTTGTAATTATATGGAGAATTCTTTTATATAAACTTCTTTTGATGTAACTTTCGAAAAAGTTATTTTCTCACGTTATTAAAACACAAATGTTTATTTAAAAAGGTGGTGAAGTCATCTGTTTATCGATCAAACGCAATTTGTTACAACAAACTTTCTATACGTGTATTGTATCTATAGATTTGAAAATGTACTAAGACGCCCATCACGGATTGAGGGGAGGTCCCAGGTTCGAATTCTGGCTGAGGTAATATTTTTCGCAATAAGAATTTTAATTCAATACGGGAAAGGGTAAATTTATAATGCTAAGTATAGCATTAAAATTAAATTAAAATAATTTACAAAAATCGCTCAGCGATTTTTAGAACACGTGAATTCACTGGCGATAATCAGAGAGAAGCCTGAGAGATGCCAGGGCCCCGTTTTTCGTGATTGGCGAATGCGATACGCCCTCTGTGGACATTGAACTACATAGCCAATGCCTGTCCAGCAGAAGTTAGCGCTTGCTAAGCGCTTTGCGTTCATTGGATTATACTTTCAGATCTGTGCTGAAATAGAGCTATTCTTCTAGATCTATCCAATCAGCATAAAGCGCTTATTAAGCGCTAACTTCTGGAGAACACAGCCATTGTCCACATTTTGCCAAGTGGGTAACGCAGATTTGCACAATTTTAGTCCCGTCCCGCGCTATGGTTAGATCCCATGCAATGATCTTGTACTTAAAATAATCTTAAGTACAAGAGCATCGCACAGGACCTGACTATAGCACGAAACGCAACCAAAATTTCGCAAATCTGCGTTATCCACTTGGTAAAATGTGGACATAGGCCGCGTTCAGCAGACACAACTGTTGAGTGAGCGCTCGGTATGATTGGTTAATACTTTTAGATCCAGCCAATCATATTAAGAAATCATTGAGCGCTCACTCAACAGTTGTGCTTGCTGAATGGGGCCGCACGTACAAATCATTCAATAATATTAGGTAAATTTGACTTTCTTTTTTGCGATCTAATTTTTTCTATAAAATTTTTACGTGAAATTTACCTAAAATCTTTATTCATTAATTTATACAGAAACAAAATAAACTTGAGTACTAGATTCTCTAGAATAGAGAATACATATATCCGTAGAAGACGATATCCGTTATTAAAAATAAAAATGTTATCTTTCTTGCTTCATGTTGGAAAGAAAAAGATAAACTCTGAACTAGTGCAGCCAGTTTAACTGAAAAGAACAGACTCATTTAAAATTAGCATTTTTAAATGAACAGATTTAAATCGATCCGAAAACGACTAATTATAAACTTATTTACAATTATTCCTAATAGAGATAGCATATAAATAATTATTTTATTAATGTTTCTAAATATGTACGATAATTTTTGTTGAAATACGATCTTCTTCTCTGGTTATTGGCTCCCGGCTCACAGACACTGAGCCGACACGGCCAGTTGAAACACAGTATAACCAGTATGCCCACTCTCTGTCGGCACCTTTGATCTGAGCGTTCTCAA